CAAGTTTTCAAACAAGTTCTTAACACATCCTTACATGGATTATTTATTAACTATTCTGAAAATTTTCTATTCACACACTACAATTTCAAAACAATTCAAAAGTGAGCTTAAGTACCTAAGAGCCCATGGATAACCATGGATGAAAAGGATGCTAATACCTTCCCTTTTCATAACCTACCCCCCGGACCCAAAATATTCTCTAAGGTCTTTCCTGTTCTTTTATAACCTTTCCTTATGGATAAAATAAAAGTCGGTGGCGACTCTTGCTATCCGCAACATTGTTTAAAGTCAGTTCACCGGGTTACAGGAGAAAACTGACACGGTAGCCTGAGTGGTATGTTGCGGCTGATTCCGCAAGATCGTTATCATCACCGTGTCGGCATCAGAACTCGTTGTTGTTGTAGTTTGGAATTACTGTTGATGTTGCCGTGAGCATAGTGGTGTCGATTACGTCAAAACTGGCGACAATGCGTGAACCAAAACCGGTCGGAGTTGCTGCATATAATGAGTTGTGAGCTGTTATTGAAACCCGAGTTGTATAAAAGCTACACGGATGAACAACCATTTGTGAATGAAAATACATTCCAGAAGGTGGAACCCATGAATGTTGCGTCAAAACCGAAACCGAATTAAATCTCGAACCAACTCACAAATATCATCTGGAAAACGAATGTGTTAAGGTGCGAGCAGGCGATGAAATCGGGAGTGATATTGGGATGAAGATGAGGGTGTGATGGAGAGGTTAATGAAAATCGTAGGTTTCGAGCAGATCGCTTATTGTTTGGGGTTTTCGTTTCTGGGTAACAGTTTGAAGTGTTTGAATGGTGAGTCTGTTGATGAAGAAGGTTGGATTGATGAGGATGATGAAGATGCAGGTGGAGTTGGTGCAACGGCTAGGGTTTGCGGCTGCCGTTAGGGTTTGAAAAGGGACCGTGAACAGTGATTTTAGGGTTAGAAAGGGGGCGGCCGTTTAGGGTCTTTTGTGAACAGTACCCATAGCTAGATGAAGATCTTCCCTTATATGCAGTTTTAACTCAACCCTAACGGGCCAGACATAGGCCTTCCATCAGATTCATTCAAATTCCCTTTTTTTTTTATTTTCTTTCCATTATTTTTCTTAATAATTCCAATAACATAACTATATATAAAAAATTAAAATATTAACATTACTAATTAATAACCACAACTAAATAGTTAACTAAACTATAAAAACTAGTATAATGTTAAATAATACAAATAAATTAATACAAGTCTAATCAATATTATTAACATAAATAATCTAATATATATATATATATATATATATATATATATATATATATATATATATATATATATATATATATATATATACAAAATACTATTATTAATATTTTTTTTTAAAAAGAAAAAAAAAGTTTAGAAAACTAAGAAAATAAAAATAAAAGAAATAATATTCACAGGAAAATTCGTTAAGCCAAGTGTCACGCCTTTATTTGGACAAAAATTTAAAAATCAACCAATTGCAAGCGGACACGTGCCTAAATAACCAGAAATAAACGGGCAACGTAAAACAGGAAATAAAATCGAGAAAGGTGAAAATAAATAAAATGGTTAGGACAAATTCGGGGTATGCTTATGCAATGTGATATGCTAATTCAATGAAATGAAACATAAGCCAGAGAGGTCGGTCAAATTTTGGGGTACAACACCTACCCATTTCACACTTCTCAGCAACCTTTTCATCAAAGACGGCGTTGCACCTTGGGCACAACACAACCTTCGACCCGCTTACCTTACATTTCTCTTGGAAATCTGTCATACTTTCTCCAGCTTGAGGGTAAACCGCCTTGAGTTTCTCCTCAAGCTTCTTGTCGGGATCATCAGTAGTCTCGACCATCATGCATTCAAAAGCTTCAATTGTTGAGTGCTTACTACGGTCGTTAGTAGTCTCAACCATCATACTATCATACAGCTCAGATTATATGACATATTCGATCTTTAGAGGGTCTGTGTCAACTTGCATCTTTCGCTTTTTGCCAAATTGAAGCCGACCTTCCTTCAAAGCTTTCTGCACCAAATCCCTGAAAAGAACACATTGAGATGTCTTATGACCAAAAAAGTTATGAAATTTACAAAATCATTTTTTCTTCTTTTGTTCTAAAGGGGGATATTTTGCCCTAGGAGGGACAATAATCTGACATTCTTTAACTAATAAATCAAAGATTTTGCCGCACTTAGATATATCAAAAGTATACGTTTTTGCGACGTATTTATCTGTTTTTTCAGTTTCGACGGGATTTTTTCCATTTGATGGTTTTAATGATTTACATGTGTAAGGAAGCTCTGGCTTGAGTTCATCCATGTTAACCTCGCTTTCTTTGACGAGCTCTTCATCGTTAGAAGAGTATTCGCCATCGGCTACATATGAAACTTTCTCTTTCTTGCGATATCTGTTAGCCTGAGTTTTTTCATTTTTTAAACGTTCGACCTGTCGGACCCTATCAGCTAGCTATGCCATTTCTCTGCGATATTGCATGTCTAACTTTTTCTAATTGAATAGTCTAGGCCGCCAGCCGCCATCTTGACTAGCTCATGTTCAGGGACTTGCACATCACTCTTTCAAAAGTCTAAACCTGTTAAGATATTGGTCCACCGACTCTGTGGTCTTTCGTTTGACACTGGCTAACTCTTTCAGACTAATTTTCGATTGTCCCATGTAAAACTGTTCATGAAACAACCTTTCTAATTGTGCCCAGGTATGGACAGATTATGGGGGTAACGTGGTAAACCAAGTAAACGCATTCTTTTTGAGGGAACTTGGGAAATACCTCCTTTTCAAGTCCTCGTTGTTCGCTATGTCACCAGCTTTAATTTGATATCTGACAACAAGTTCGACGGTGGACTCTTCGGTCTCTCCGGCGAATTCGGTGAACTTTGGAACCTTCCATCCCCTAGGCAGCTCTGTTTGCAAAAACAAATCTGGTAGTAGGGACGTATATGTTGGTCGTCGATGAACTTTCTCCAAATAGTAAGGCACTATGATGTAAACTCGACATGAACTCTGTCGGCATCCCAAAGGCTCGAGGTGTGGGCATTGTGAAATTAGGCATAATACCCCACTGTCCCTGTCATCATAGGCCTAGGTTCAGGTTGACGTGGCGTCACGACAGGTCCACTATGTGCAGTCAAAACCGCAGACATAGTGTCAGCGCCAACATCGGCTGTTTGCGTCACAACTGTATTTCCCTCAAAAGATAGTTATTCGTTTGGACGTGGTATCACCATCTTACCACTATGTAAATGCATACACCCCAACCAACGGGTCCCACCAGGTGTGCCAATTTGTTCGCATGCAGTTTTCGCTCGAACAACCTCTGGCTTCATAACGCAGGTTTACTTGCGGGACCGGCCAAACAAGTCCCAGAAAGGTCTGGTAGAGTCTATGTGACGTTGGTAGAATGGTTTTGTTTAGAATGAATTGGAAACAAACTTGAAGAAAAAATGTATGCTAATTAAACAAGCAGAAAAAATAAACAAGTAAAAAAGACAAGATATCTTAAAGTTTGGTAATGTAAATTGCTTTTAAAAGGAAATGTGGGCGCTATCATACATTTTGCAGGAGTGAACTCTTTTCTCTTAATGTTTGGTACTCATAGTGTATTTCCTTCACAGTGTTATAGAATGCGCCCTCTATAATAAAAATGGACATTGCTTTAAATATTAAAAAAATAACTGTTGTTTTCTGCATGTTGGTCTTGGTGGCGCCACGTGTCCCTCCACCATCTTTTTAACTTCCCCACGTTTTCAACTTTCAAATTTCTTCCCGCTTAAAGGTTCTCATACTTTGTGTTGATTTCCTTGGCCATCAGTCGACACCTTCGACGGAATAGCCTTGAGTCGACTCACAACACCTCTTCTGCTGGCGTCGACTTGCGTTGTTTCCTTCACCATCGTTTCTACCTTGTCGACCCACATGTTAACTTTTATGTCAACTCCTCTCAGTCGAAATCTTCCAGTCAACAACCATTCTCTTGTATTTTTCCTCATCATTTTTATACCACCATAACCTATATTTTGAATGATCAAGATCACGAATGTCTTTCAATATTCCTGTAACGTCAAAGAAGCTCAACTTATTAGGATCAATGTCATCTACAACATGTTCATGTTCCATTTTGTAAAAGAATACACAATCACTAACAAATCTATCCATCATACAAAAATTCAAGCTAAAACTCATTACTAGAAATTTCACCTATGATTTTAAAAAACAAACACCAAAAAAGAATGAAAGGAACCAACTTTACCTTAGTCATAAGCTTCATTCTTCTATCATTGTTGAAGAAAGGTCGAACGAGGATAATGGATGAAATGTGTGTTCCTCTCGTCTAACTTAATCGTTTACCTCTGTGAATGACGCCTTCTTCTACATCATTCAGAAGCTCCATTCGTCTACCACATACATCTCCTTTTAAGTTTCATATTTTTTCAACCCTAATTACAAAGACTTTATTTAAAAGACAATTTAATAATTTTTAAAAGAACAATAAAGCAAAGTCACATCAATAATTAGAACTTAAAAAAATAATTCATCAACATCACAAATCATATAATTTTTTAACAAAGCTTCATGAAAATCAAATAAAATTTAATATTTAAAAACTTTTCACAATAAAATAAAACATCACAACTATATAGTGAGGAATTAACTATTTAAGCCATAAATTCATAATATAGGAGTAATACAAAATTATAGTCCTTTTAAATTAAAAAAAAAAAATCATGCAAAGATGGTGAACTGATGTTGACGATAGAGTAAAAGTGAAGGCTTCCTCTTCTTTTCTTACAACTGGGAAGTCGCGAGTCGCGACAGTAAACCCAAATGACTCGCTCGGTGAATGCAACTCCCCACCAGATTCACAATCAGATCCACCGTCACCATCATCACTAGCAACACTCTTTCTACTCTCACAACCATTACATTACTAATTTCAGATCTCAAAACAAAACCCAAAAAAATGAAGGATTCAAACTCAAACTCAAATTCAAGCTCAAGCACCATTAGAACCGAACCCATAGCCCAAAACATAATCAAACTCATTAGCAACCTCTGTTTCTCAATCTTCGTCTTCTCCGTTCTCATCTTCACCGTCATTGCAATCACATACCAGCCACCCGATCCATGGCTTCAATCTTCCCCAGCTCTCACCAACCTCTTCACCCAAACCGAAAACTCTACTTTCCATATCGACACCTCCGTCATCAAAACCGGCGAAGATATTCCTCTTTCCCCACAGGACTCGCCTCTACCTCTTCCTTCCTCCGCCGTCGCCGCTAATGCAACCCCCGCCGTCTCCGAAGCTCTAATTGAAAAATCCGAGGAGAAAATCGTCAATTCCTCAACTACCTGTGAAGACCTTCCCGAAACCCTAAACTGCTCCGATCCTCGGGTTCTTATCACTATCCAGAGATTCAACCTCCGCGCTTTCAAGTCAATTTCGTTCTTCGAGTATCGAACTCCCGTGAACGGAACCGTCCCCGGCGAGTGCGACGTATCCTGGAGATTCCGTAACAAGAGAGAGAAATCATGGCGGAAGTACCGTGATTTCCGCCGCTTTAAGATAACTGTAACCGATGACTGTCACTATAAGGTTATTCACGCTGGCAGGTTTCATTCTGGCACTAATGCACGTCGAAACCCGGTGCTCCAGCCAAGAACAGGAGGCAGTAAGGGGAAAACCGTGCCGCAAATTGCGGCACGAGATGATGAGATCAATGATACAATCCCGACGTTGGGATCGGAGAGTAATTTCAGGAGTGGTAAGTATTTGTATTACTCGCGAGGTGGTGATTATTGCAAGGGTATGAATCATTATATGTGGAGTTTTTTGTGTGGTTTGGGGGAAGCTATGTATTTGAATAGAACTTTTGTTATGGATTTGAGTGTTTGTTTAGGTTCAATGTATAACCCTAGTAATAAAGATGAGGAAGGGAAGGATTTTAGGTATTACTTTGATTTTGAGCATTTGAAGGAGGTGGCTTCTATTGTGGAAGAAGGTGAGTTTTTGAGAGATTGGAAGAGATGGGATAAGACTCATCTCAAGAAAAGGAAGGTTCCTGTTAGGAAAGTTGTTACTCACAAGGTTACTCCTATGCAGCTTCAGAAAGATAAGAGCACTGTCATTTGGAGGCAATTTGATTCCCCTGAGCCTGAGAATTATTGGTATAGGGTTTGTGAAGGTCAAGCTGCTAAGTATATTCAGAGACCTTGGCATGCTTTGTGGAAATCTAAGAGGTTGATGAATATTGTTACTGAGATCAGTGGAAGAATGGACTGGGATTTCGATGCAGTTCATGTGGTGCGCGGGGAGAAAGCTCAAAATAAAGAGCTGTGGCCTCATTTGGATTCTGATACTTCGCCGGATACACTTCTTGAGAAGCTGAAAGGGATGGTACAGCCTTGGAGGAATTTGTATGTTGCCACGAATGAGCCGTATTATAACTACTTTGATAAGTTGAGATCGAGTTTCAAAGTTCATTTGCTTGATGATTATAAGGAACTGTGGGGAAATTCAAGTGAATGGTACAATGAAACCAGTCTTCTCAACAATGGAAAGCCGGTTGAGTTTGATGGGTACATGAGAGTTGCGGTGGATACGGAAGTCTTTTACCGTGGAAAGACTCGGGTTGAAACATTCTATAATTTAACTAATGATTGCAAAGATGGAGTTAATACATGCTGATCAGGTTGGAATTGCTTATTTTGATACATATTCATTGTACGATCAGATGTTTGTTCTGGATTCAGTTTCAGATTCATGCCATGAAGTTATATTTAAGCTCACTGTTGTGGTTGCTTGTTCTTTTATTGTATTGATTGATGATTTATTAATTGTGTTGATTATCATGATTTTGTACACAGCATATATCATAGAATCCCTTTCTCTCTTTTTCTGAAGTTATGTTCTTCCTCATAAACTGCGTTTCCCATTCCCCATTATCTTCATTACTTTGTTCCCAGATTGACCAAACCAAATTGAAAATCACAAGGGCTTTTGCTGCTGGCCTCTAATATTTCAATCTATTAATGAAACAATAGCTAAACAGAAATGGATACTACATTATTACATCTTTAAACAGAACTTGACACCCTGATTAATCTTAGGACCAAACTATTTATCTCAATCCTAAGAGCTTTACATAGCTGGAATCCTCCCCAGTCCCTCTCTCCCTCAAACAAATCTAACACAAGCTATATGTATTTAGTTTGCATCATTTCTGTATTTCTGAATAACTGATTTATGATGCTACTTTGAACTAATTTGTATGCCTGGAGGAAGTCTCTAACAGGGTATATCTGTAATTGATTTACATCATTTCTGTCATTTTCTTGCACGGCTTGTCAAGATCTTCACATGCCTGTCTAATCGATAATACAAATTACAAGGCATAACTAATTTGGTGCTCATCAGTTTGTATTCAAGCAGAAAAAGAAATTCTCCTGAGCATTTAACTACGTAAAATTTATGTTAGAGGCACTGTCGTGCCTTACTAGAAAATAAAATGGATCAAGATACCTTCTAATCAGTTGTTTGGGTACTAGACATGATTAATTTTAAGGAATTGTTTATCTACCTCTAATGGGTGAAAAAGCACTCTAAGAAATTTTGGGAATGTCTTTCAGAATCTGAACATCCATTTTCGAACCATAATTTTTCACACCAAAACGCGTTTTAGGTGAGACTTATTTTATATTTTTCTCAAAATTTATTTTGGAAATATATTTTTCTCAAAATTTATTTTGGAAATATATTTTTGGATTCATCTTAACCTATTTACACTAAACCCATATATAAATAAGTCAAACATTCGTTTTATAAAAAAAATTGTTAGAAAATATACTTCCGAATTATTTGAAAAGTATATTTCCGAATAGACTGCAATCTGCACCTTTTTATTTTCCCTCGGATCTGTTTTCAAATTGAACAACCAGCCAACAAAAGAGCTAATTTTAAGAGACCTTCATCTTATTAAGAATATTATTTATGGCAAAGTCATGTAACGGAAAAAGAAAAAGAAAAAAAAACAAGAAAATGATATAATATATTAAAAAAACAAAAACCTTTGAAATCTGAAGCATTTATATAGCAGTTAAATTGCAGCAATTATAAGGATTTCAATGTTATAATGTTTATAGAAGTATATTTTCGTATTTATTTTAAAAGTATATTTTTGATTTTTTTTTTCTTTTTAAAAATAAAACTGTGACTCATTTACGTATAAATTTAATACATTTAGACTGCATTCGAATATGCATTTTTGAATTCTACTGTTAGTTTTAATTTTTCACTTAAATAAAGAAGTAATATTTAAAGTGCATTAAGGAGCTTCCTAATTTTATCTCGATATTTTGAATTGTAAAGCAGTTAGAAATTTAGTCCTTTGGCATGAAAAAAAATCCTATAATTATTTGAACAATTGCCAAAAATACATGTATTGCACTTTGAACATGACAAATCCCAGGCGCAAAATAGTCATCCCGGAACAAAGTTGAGACATTTGATTGCAACAAATGACCAAATGCTGGCAACCATTAGCTGATGCAATTTTTCCTTGGTTTCGGTATTGGATCATTTTTGGTTTTTTTCTCTTTCATCAAAAGATTTTTTTAATGTATTATTGGTATAAAACATTTTATGAAAATTTAAAATTGTCCTTGAGATTTCGAAAATGCAGTTTGACTTTAATGAAAACGTAAAAACTGAGTTACGTCTAATATATTTTGTAAAACTTATTTTATACTCCATGCGCCCCTTTCTGAAACACATCTTTTTATTATAGATTGTTCTGGAAATGTATTTTTGTATGCACATCAGACAGAATTCGGAGATGCATGTTCTGCGATGTTTGACTATTTTTTCTCCAAACAAATGCATGTTTTGCAATTATGTTGTGCCTCAATTGTTCTTACCTATCAGTCATAACGTTTGTAAGTAAACACAAGCGTTACACAATGAGTACAAACAAAAAAATACAAACTGCAAAAATTCGAAGATGCATGTCTGATTTTTGAGAATTGAAACGGTGGAAAATTTTAGAGATATATTTCTGAAAATTTCGGCAACTCTATTATCAGCGTCAATGGTGGTAATGCAGTCCTCAAAATAAAAAAATAGTGCATTGATCAACAAAGTTATCCATCAAACACATTTCTAGTTACGTATAAAGTATTAAACATGTATAACCTATCTATTTAATAACCTAATTATCAATTACTACAATTTTATATATAAAATATTGAGAAAAATACAAAATTTACAAATTGTGAGTATACTTCAGTTGAATGAGTTATTTGATGGACTTTGATGTTGAAGAAGCTTTGAAGTTGGTTGAATGATTTTGAGAGAATATGAGTTAAGAGAGTTCGAATAAGTTTAATAGTTCATAATGATATTTTGTAAAGTGAGTAAGGAGAAAGAGTTTTGGCGCGTTTGTTAATAAATAGCATCCGGAAATGCATCCCCGTAATGTATACAAAGATATATCTCCATAATATATTTTTTGTTGACTTAGGGCTTGATTCATGAATGTATTGCGTTGAGGTATGTTTGGAAATGCATCTTCAAAATTTGAGAGTATTTTTATATTTTTTACAAGGTGTGCTAGTAAAGCGTGTGATGCATTAAGAAATTCTCACAAAAGTATATGTTTTGGTTCTCCATGGTTTCATAAAATTGATTTTATTTGAAAATAAATTGAATATAAAATAGTTTGTGATTGAATATATTTATGGACAAATTGTTTATTTATGAACAATAAATAAAAGTTATATTTTTATGTTACAAATTGATGTTATTTAAAAACATATTGAATGTAACATATTTTGTGATAGAATATATTTATGTAAAAGTGTAAAAATGAGGTGAACAATAAATATATAAAATATATTGTATTTAAATAATTATATATATATGAATATTTATATAAAAAATTAAATAGAGTTTTGGTCTTTGTAAGTTAGTGAATTTTTGGGTTTAGTTCTTAAACCTTTTTTTTTCAAGTCTAAGTCCTTATATCTCGTGTTTGTGTTGATTTCCGTCTCTGACGTTAGTAGTCTGTTAAAAAAACACTGAGTTAGCTAACGCCGCTGACGTGAAATGACATTTTATTTATCTTTTCTTTAATATTTTGCAGACGTGGCCAATGACTTATGTTAACACCAAAATCAACAAAATATTCAGAAAATGATTTTTGGCATCAGTCCCTGTAAATTAGGGTTTTTCATATTTGAAAGGATAAGTGTGGTGACCATTGGAGAATGGCGGGGCCGAATGTGAGACAACAACCACGATACAACAATGACGCCGTTCTGGTTGACAATCTCATCTGTGGTATTTAGCATTTATCTTTCAGTCTGTTTTGTTCTTACTCTGTTCGTTGCATTTATCTTTGTTCTGTTCGTTGAAAGTTGATAAGTCCACACTTTGAGATTGACATTAATTTTGATAAAACTAACATGACAGCAAGATATTGGACAAGATGTCCTAACATGAAAAAAAACTGAAGAATAAGATGTTGGACAAGATGTTCTATCATGATGATTCGACATCTTTGTCTGTTACTTTGCAATTCGATAAGTTGTAAACCGAAGGTTGTTTAGCTTAAAATTAATATTATCTAGTAGATTTCATTCCTCGCTTGGTAGTCCCGAGACGTAAGTGTTATTGTACACCGAACTGGGTTAACAATTATTGTGTTTCGTTTACTCTCTGAAATTTTTATTATTCTCCTTCTTGTCATTGTGTTTAATGCAGCGATTAAGTACCTCGACATCTCTTAGGATATCTGAGATCTGCATACTATAATTTCAAAAGTGATGAGTTTCAATTCGATATTCCATTAGGGGGTGGTTTTTTAAGGGCTTATGTATTATACTACACAAGGGTTTGTGAGCATTTAGTAGAGATTGATACTGATAGATGAAGCTCATTTGAGGCAATTTGTATAGTGAAAGACATTACTCAGCTATAACATTCACAATATACGTTATGGTGGTATAACAATGAGAGAGATAGGTATATTAGAATGGTTACGGATGCTGATGAGATATATCAATATGCCATGAGAATCAAAACTGTAGTGCACCTATATGTTGATCCTAAAGGTAAAGCAGGTCTTCAAGTTAATGATGTTGTTATTGATGTTTGGGGTGTTCAAGTTAATGATGTTGTTGGAGTTCCCGCATCAATATAAATCCACACTGGACGGACACATTATTTAGATGATCCTAAATAATTATTGGAAGATTGTTTTTACAGCTTGTTTGGTTTGATTTTCATTTTTCATTTTGGTGAAGTGCTTGCCTGCTTTTGAAGATTTTCATTCATTTTTCAAGTAAATGTAACTTACTCTTTTGAAGATTTTCAATTGTAGTTTACTTTGATCAGTTGGTGATGTCTTAAATTTTTCTCTGATGTTTGCACTTGCACTGGAATGTATTGTTTTATGAATGCTTGCTTTACTTTATATACTACATTTTTTGTCCATGCGAAAGACAGACTCTTGCAAATGATTGGAGGGCCATGCCATAACTGGCTTTATCTCTCTAATCTTTGTCAAAGAAGCTGGTTTAGCATGTGTAGGGTCTACTTCCTAAAAGCTTGAACTATTAGATGGAGAGACAAGCTGTACAAATACGGCTTTATATTACCAAGAGTATATATGGTCACACAGCTTTATGCGT